CTCCAATTAGGTTCGACGTGAATGGAGGATGGTGAAATCTTATCCCATACTGATTGCTACATGGAATTCTGTGTTGCGTCACACTACAATAAAATCGAATTTATAGAGTAAATGTATGGTCATTGATCTAGTAGCGGATCTAATAAGCCATGTTATCAGGGGCACACCTGTATTACCAAATCCGATATTGAAATTTATTTATATCTATATTTATGTATAAAATCAAATCATCCAAAATGTTTAAAATATCTAAATCAATTCGGTTAGAAATGTTTAAAGTTATGTAAAATCAAATTAATATAAAATTTCAAAAAATCATGTAAAATCAATCAAAAAAAAAAAAAAATATCGTGTGTAATTAAAATCAATATGATTTTATTTGTTAAAAAATGTGTAAAATCAATTAAGCTCAAAACAGTTAAAATTATGTAAAATTAAATCCTCACAAAAAAGTTAAAAATTATGTAAAATCAAATCAATAAATATATATATTACTTATAAATAATTGTGTATAAAAGTTTTGTCATACTGTATTTTATTTTGTTAATTCTATGTTATATTTTTAAAATATAAATAAATGTATAACTTATAAATTAGAATAATAAATATGAAAAAACAAAGAAAATATGTATAACAACCCCATCAATATTGATTAGTGCTTTTGATATTTTCTTTCGTCTTCATTTGTCAGGTGAAACTTCAAAAGCATAATGCTAAAGCTAATAAATTTTGTTATTTCATAACTCTACAAACTTTGATTATCTTTATGCATATCCTTCTTAACAAATGGTAAGGATCGAGAGTCTTACTTAAGAAGTGAGGGAAATAATTCTTACTCGGTAAGTGCTTTCATTATTTAAGATGCTTATCAAYAATCCATTTTTATAGTTCACCTAACAAGTGCTTACTGGTAAGCATTTTATGAAAACGATATTTATGTTTTGCCAATGATTTGGTTCACTTTCACAGACTTGAAGACATTTTTTTTGCTTAAGTTTTTTTGAACGGTAAAATCTAAGATGTTTTGGATTCTTGAGGTAGGCACTCATCTTCGTAAGTTATTTAACATTTTATAAAACAAAGAATCATACTGAACAATAACACTAAAAACATTACACAATTCATTGAAAATGAGGAGATCGATCACACTAAGCAATTAATACTTTGATGTATAAAAATTGGGAATTAAGTAATTAGAATCAACAAAATTAATTGAATTAACTGATTAAAAATTCTTTTATGACATGTTATTCGAAGTTTCAAAATGAAAAGAAAAAGAGATTTCCCTTCGACCTATTTTTTGCTATGACAATCAGTAAAGCTTAATGTGTAACAATTTCGAATGTAAATGTTTATCGGTGTGTTTGCTTACATTTATTCAAATTTTATGTCCCGCTGAATTGTGTGGATATACAACTAGTATTAATTAATAGGGACTTAACAATTTTATTGAATTTAAAGAGTAAAAGAATATCGGGTTGGGTTAGGTTCAAATGACCGTAACCCAATTTCAACCCAATACCTACGGTTTGAAGATTTTACAACTCGATTAGATATCGGGTTACTTCGGGTTGAGTTATTTTGCATGGATTGGGTTGGTCGGGTTGGTCAGGATACATAAATATATCCAAACATATGTGTATATACGTACACGTACATACATATTTACTTAAACAAAATACATATATAGTTTAAATAAAAACTAAATATTAGTTAAATTTTTAATAAAAAAGTATTAAAATGTATTACATAAATAAAATATTTAATATGTAAACATTATTATTTTAATTAATGTTTAACAAAAATTAAATATTAAGTTAATAAATGAAAATTAAAACTTAACATTTTTTTTAAATATATATGTATGTACGGATGAATATGTAAGAGGTTGYTCAAATTTTTTGGATAAGTGTTAACCAAGACAAGAGTTCTAACTTGGATAAGTGTTAACCGGAAATTGTTGTTAGCATAATGATTTGTACTAGGGGTGATTGAGAGAAAATGACTATTATACCCTTTTGATGTTAGATTAAGAACATTTTCTTTGGTTTTGCTTCTCACAAATCACAAACTAGGGGGGTTCGCAGTACGGTTTAGTGCAATTTGGGGTCAAAACACAAACGGCACTACATATGCGGTTTGATCATTTTTTTCAAACCGCAAAACTGCACTACATAAACTTCAAACCGAACCAAATCACACCGTATAATGCGGTGTAGTGCGGTTTATACGGTTTGTTCCTATCGCACTTTATATCTACAATCCAATAATTATAAATATAAAAATATTTAATGAAATCAACGATAAAATGATCGTAGTCCAAAAAAATAAAGAGTTTCAATACATCTAATTCTCAAATACATATTGCATACCTAAAAATAGTCTAAGAGGTAAAAAATAGACTTCAAAATAAAATGGACCTAAGAGTTATGACATGTCCAACTAATTTATTAATATTGTCAATTCTCATATTGAATAAAATTCAAATTACAAAACACAAAGTCCAAAAATATTATATGAATAATAAATTATTTTCTCTTCTCTCTCTCTCTCTCTCTCTCTCTCTCTCTCTCTCTATATATATATATATATATATGTGTGTGTGTGTGTGTGTGCGCGCGCGGGTGCGCTATATAAAATCAAAGAAATGTACAAAATATGTGGTGCGGTGCGGTTTCAACCGCGGTTTGATAACTCCAAACCTCAAACCGCACCRCATAGTGCAGTTTGATAAAAATGCAAACTGTAAAACCGTATCGCGAAAGTTCTAAACTATGCTTTGCGGCACAGTACGACATGGTGTGAACGGTTTATGCGGTTTGACGGTTTGGATGAACAACTCTATCACAAACATCAAAATACCTTAAAAAAGTTATTACACGAAAAAATGATCCACAGACCTTTAATTTCAAGAATAAAGTCTATAACTCATAAACATTTACCTTCGCTTGTATACGTACTTCCTATTTTATAGGCTTAGGCAAACAACTTTATTGTGTTGGGTACTGAATATAGTAGAAAATCTCATTTATCCTGGGTTCAAATCTAGACATTACTAATTAAAACATTTATGATTATGGAGATTTACTTAATTCCAGACCATTCGTGGGCGTCCAAGGAATTAGTCGATACACAAATTTTGGGTAGTTTCCATGAAGACCTAGCTCCGAGTATCAAAGTACGTACGATAACCATTTAAAATATTTGATCGTGTTATGAATATGATTATTTAAGATAGATGGTTTCAAATAAATATGTGCCGTTAAGAATAAATGCAGTTGTAACTATAGAAAATAACTTCTTCCTCAACTACTACATCTGAATGAGCATAACATTCACTAATTTAAGAGAATCGTTTTCCCAAACTAAGGTTCGACATATGTGATCTAGATTACGATACAAACAAAAGATTCTTTGCATAATTTTTTTTTTTCCAATTTTTCTTTTATGGTGATTGATTAACTATTGAACATAACTGTATATTTAAGCTAGCTAAATACACACACACACACACAAAAACATATATATATATATATATATATATATA